CGTGAGCCGCCCCCACAAAAAAAAAAAAAAAAACGACAGCCAAAGACGCTGAAAGATCATGTCCGAACATGTAGGTGAGATTAGACAAACGTGTCGTGCGTTATAATGTCTGGGCGTATAGCTGAAATCTCACGTGACATTGCGAAAATGTCGCGACTGCCTTAAATGAGTCGCGGCATTGAACGTTTTGTTTTTGCCGCTATCAGGCTCCACACTGACGCATGCAAATTGTTTCTTTGTGTTAATTTGCCAGGATCTTGAAATCGCGAGTCAAGTGTGAGGTTAATGGGGACTCCAGCAGGCGCAATTAAAGTTGATGACAAGACATTGCAGTTTTTCAGGCTGCGGATGTCTCAGCAATGGCCTCGGTCAGGAAGAGGCACCGAAAAGGTTTGTTGAAACTGTCTGTCGAGCTAATAATGTTCACGTGTCAAGTGGGCCAAGTGATCTGGTGCAGGTGCGCCGGTAAGAGAAATAATGAAGCTGTCTTTCTATCGGCGAGCTCCGGTTGGTTGGTTGGTTGGTTGGCTGGTTGGTTGGTTCATTGTTTGGTTCGTTGGAACAACTTCATTCAGGTCCTGCGGGACACGCCCAGAGCATTCGCAGAACATTAATTTTCTGTGTTTATTTGCGGTTTTCTTGCCTTTTCTTCTCTGCACCAATGCCGTTGATTGATTGATATGTGGGGTTTAACGTCCCAAAACCACCATATGATCATGGGAGACGCCATAGTGGAGGGCTCCGGAAATTTAGACCACTTGGGTTTCTTCAACGTGCACCCAAATCTGAGCACACGGGCCTACAACATTTCCACCTCCATTAGAACCAATGCCGTTCTCGAATACCAAAACGATAAATATATCTACCATTTTGGTAGTCGTTATTCGTTGTTGTTATTCCTAATTTTATCATACTTATTGATATCTGGAAGCTGTTGTGTTTTTTTTTTTGTTTTCTATGACTCCCTACAATCAGGATCTTGCCCGGCACTAGCCTACAACATTAGCTGCCATTTGCAAAATTTGGGACTTAGGTGATACCTCAGATTTTAGCATTTCTATTGTTGTTCTACGTGCATTCGCAAAATGTGCTCAGGGCCGACAGGCACAAGCATTTTACACTATTTCGTCACGTGGGCTCCTGTTTTTTTTTCCCACGAAGAACTTATTGAGTACCAGTCTCACTTCTCTGATACCATGTATGTCTGTTGAAATAAATGTAAAGTGGCAGAGGAAACAGTTATAAAACAGTGTTACGATGGCGGAGTGAAAGAAGATATTGTTGGTGAAAGCGGCAGGCTCAAGGTATACGGGCAGCAGGACGCTTAAAAGCCCTCATAGCATACCACACACTTACGATATTCAGCCCAGAAACACAACACTGCCAGCACACAGCAGCCGCCTGCGCTTATCACTGAGCATGCATCCCTACTGGAACTTCGCATGATTTGTTCTATAGTTTAACTTTCGTGTTCGCTACTGTCGTTGGTGGCGATCGAAACACAATCCTACAGTAACACGAATAGCTAGGAGCACCACTATACTGCACGAGATTCATATCTCTGGATGAGAAACTACAATCTCCCGACAAATCAGGGCTAACATATAACTAATTCTTGACCAATCAGTTTTGGCACAAGTTGCAAGCTTTTTGAATTGACTTTGACTTCGCCCCGCCACGGTGGTCTAGTGGCTAAGGTACTCGGCTGCTGACCCGCAGGTCGCGGGATCAAATCCCGGCTGTATGGCGGCTGCATTTCCGATGGAGGCGGAAATGTTGTAGGCCCGTGTACTCACATTTGGGTGCACGTTAAAGAACCCCAGGTGGTCAAAATTTCCGGAGCCCGCCACTACGGCGTCTCTCATAATCATATGGTGGTTTTGGGACGTTAAACACCACAAATTAATCATGACTTTGACTTCGGTGTGTTTGCAGGGGAGACATTTCATAGTGAGTGACTTTCAAAACTATAGCATTAGTTCTTGGAGTCAGAATTGTGAGACTCAATCGCAGCAAAATTTCGCCGCTGTTCCCTTTTCTCTGTTTATACCAAAACGCTGTTGGCCTTTCGCACAAGCCAACATACGGAAGTGAACACGTATTATCTGGAAATAATTTTCAATCCCTCCAGCGGACTCCTTCTAGAGTTAAAGCCTGGTCCAAAGCCACCTTCGACGTACATTCGTCTACGCACGGTTTGAGAAAGAGGCCCCTCAGTCCTGCCCCGCACACTTGTGTTCCATTTAACCCACCCAGCTCTTACTTCGTTTATGGTGAGGCAAAACACAGCAGTCACGTTCCTTCGCGGCCTTGCCTTTCCGTTTGCGGCGCAAACCAATTCATTTCTAAAAGAGGGAGCAAACCGTGCAACTGCTTTCGTTTGACAAGATGATCTTTCGCTTTCTTTCTTTCTTTCTTTCTTTCTTTCTTTCTTTCTTTCTTTCTTTCTTTCTTTCTTTCTTTCTTTCTTTCTATCTTTCTTTCTATCTTTCTTTTCATTTCTTTCTTTCTTTCTTTCTTTCTTTCTTTCTTTCTTTCTTTCTTTCAATCTACGTTTGCCATCGTTTCGCTTGCACCCATACATGTATATTTCGCTAGAACTAGCTTCGTACGCGCTATTCAGCGAACAACTGGTCTTGGGGGAGAGCCTGCTACAAACAGGTACTTTCGGAATAGTTTAATTGGTTCCCAGAGATACCGAGAACGCGAGACAGATGCGGCAGCAAGAGACTGCCCAGCAACGCAGTTACAGGGCGTCTGGCGCCAGCAGAGCGTGACCGTACAGCCCCGAAATAGCGCGGATGTGACAGATTGACCACCCAGTTAAGAAGAAGAGATAAAAAAAAAAGAGTTCACCGAGATATTATTGCTAGCATATCTCCAACAAAGTGCGATGCGCTCGTGAAATAACCATACTTCATCAAGAACTACGTGTAATAAGTACAATACGACGCTTTGGAAATCGAGGAAGCGGCCGATTTATAGCCGAATGAAGCCACTAAGCCTACGCTAGGGGCTGCCACGTCCTGCACATCCCTGAATTTTTTGCAACGCTCGACTTGCGGTGCCTGCTACGCATACACGAATATGCAGTGTAATCAAACCAAAATTAAAAGTACATGGGCTATTTTTCTTTTTCTGCAGCACGCGTGCTCACTCAATGAACGTTATAGAGTAACTATATTTTATGCGTTCGCGATGGATGTAGAGGAGGGAAAAAATGCTTGGGGCTTCGACGAGGTTCGAAGAAGGTTTCGTGATGTGTGCTTTCTTTCATAATTAAACGGAGCAGACCTTCGGCGATTCCCGAGGTTTTAAGGTTGTTCTCTCTGTCAGTATCACTGGCCTGTCCAGAGGTCTATTTGTTGATAAAATGATATCTGCCATTGGGCGCCAGCACCTTTCGTAAAAGAATGCCGAGCGTGAAGGAAGGAAGAGCGCAAGAAATAGACAAATGGACTGGGAGGTTAACCCAATCTTAGACCAGCTGGCTATACCCTGTGTTGTTGCAGAAAAAAGGAGTAAGGAGGAATGAAAGAGAAAGAACAAATCCTACGCAAAAAAAAGAAGATAAAGAAGAAAAGGAAGTAGTTTGTAACATTGTTTAAAAGTTCAGGACCAGTTGTCCAGAAAAACGCTTTCAACGCCTTCTGTACTGGGGATGGACTCTGCGGGAGTTCCGCCCCCTTTCCTCCGACACAGGGCGATGATCGAATCTCTCTAACGAACTGGAAAGTCCTATCTTGGCGCACTGTATAGCGGCAACTCTCGCAGGGAGACATGCTGAAATTATGACTACGGCCAGTGGGGCCCTTGCCTAAGCCTGCCTACATTATAGGCCACAATGCATGTTTTCCTCGGTGAACAAAGGAGTGCAATCGCCGTTCCTAAACGACGACCGATTAGAAGACTTGTTCGGTGGCCCTGCTTCGCTAAACCATATAATGCCATGCCTGACCACGTAGACGTCGAACTTTCGTCGAACTCTTTTATTACGCTGGACCTGTGATAGAACGGTCTAAGAATGTGCTTGTAATGCTTGCAGACGCTTACTTCACTACAGAGTGCGACCACAAAGAACGAGCAACGTCTACTTCCTTCTCACATGATGCAGCTCGTATTCACTGTCGGCACATCTGTACCCAAGCTGCCTGCATTCTCTATTCTGAGGGGCATCAGACCGAAGAGCGTTCTTGTACGGACGGTATACTTCACTCTCTGGAAGGGTTCAGCTGCTATTTGATTGCCGCGGTGTACAACCGGAGCAGATGTGGGCGCAACGGCTCAGTTGTGTCAATCAATCAATCAGTCAATCAATCAGTTTATTAGCATGTCATAAAAGGATGTTACAGGGAATAAAATATACAGACGAGGATTCCAAAGTACATGACTGCAACGGGACCCTCGGTGATGATTACAAATAATAAAAGCACAAGCAGCTGTTAGAATCGTAGAAACAAAAATATACAAAGCAGAATGAAAACGAAAAGGCATGGAATCAAAAAACAAATAATACAGCATAAAACAACACAAAGAAGATAGATAAACTATTTAACAGGTACCAATTTAATGAGTTTTTAAATGAAATTAAAGAAGTGTCGATTGTGATGCGGTACGTATACTGTCTGCATCGTAACGATCATGAGAAGGAGACTATATATAATAAGTGGCCATTTCGTACGATGAATATGGCAGTATTGACGGGAGCCCATATAAGGCATCCCGAACACGTGATGGTCTTGGAAGCAGTGCGATCATTCATCGCATGACACACGCTCGGCGCCAATCTGGGAACGCTTCGACGATGTATTAGTTTCTGTTATCGTATATATTAAACCGTCAGTGCTGAAATTTTACATTCCGAAACTTCTGCTGATTACAAGGAACGCTATAATGGAGGGATCAGGCAATGTGAACCGTCTGGTTTTTACTTATTGTGCACCTAATTCTGCGTAGACGACCCTCTAGTAAATAGTTTTCTCTCGAAAATGCAGCCGCCATGGTCGGGATTCGATCCCGTGAAATTCGGGCCAGAAATCGAACATCATAGCCACAAGACAACCATGGCGGGTGAGCCGACAGTGCTACAAATGCTGCAATGCTCTCTTCAGGTCAACATTGGTGAAAACATTTGCGTGACGTTGGTAAGTGAAGCGGCAGTGATCACATCATCTCGAATTTTGAGAAAATCTACATAGCTTGTTGTCTTACAAAGGCTGTCGAAGGGTGTTTGTGCATGTCCGTATGAAAAATCGACTGCGATTGATTATATTAATTGTTCAGTATCTCCGGCCGCTTTATGGTGATATGCAGATGCGTTTGTACGTCGTGTTTGTCAGTAACGGGTCACTGAAGTGATAACTACTGGAGTAGTCAGGTCAGAAATTGAGGCAGTGCGTGATATCGCAATCATCATTTAGATGTTTGTATTCACTTCATTCATTATAGTCTGTCAATGAATGAGCGAAAAAATAAATGACACATTTGCAATGTAGGGTTTTAAAGTCCGAAGCATGTGGCGTGTTTTACATGTCACAAGTCAAGGAGTTTAGGCTATCAATCTCTCACTAGGTTATTTTAGGACTCCTAATTTTTACTACAATTTTCAGGTTGAGTAATTGCTCAGGTGAAGCGCTTGATTTTCCCTATATAGTACATAACCAATTACTTTTTCATCACTAAATGCTGGTGACAACATTTTGAAATAAACACAAACAAACACAGTCTGTGCGTGTGTCTGCATCAACGGAGGTATCCTGGGTTAATATTGATAGCCCGACCTCTCTAACACTCGCACGAATCTCATTAAATGTACGTTTCCCTTTATTTAACCCCGGCTTGCTCAGAAAGCGTCGAAGTCCACTGCAAATATCTGTACATTTATTTATTTATTTATTCATTTATTTATTTATTTATTTATTTGATTATTGACAAGAAATACGGGAAAACAATGTTTCATGTCTGATTGGTATGTGGTGTTAACGTCCCAAAACCGCCTTATGATTATGAGAGACGCCATAGTGATATGCTCCGGAAATTCCGACCACTTGGGGTTCTTAACGTGCTCTCAAATCTGAGCACAGGTGCCTGCAGTATTTTCGCCTCTATAGGAAATACAGCCACCGCCGCAGTGATTCGATTTCGCGACCAGCGGGTCAGCAGCCGAGTGCCTTAGCCACCACAGACCACCGCGTCGAGGCTTGTTTCATGTCTATGCACAGCCACCAAGCGTTTCAAGTATAATAAAAAAAAAGAAAAAGAAAAACGGGGGCATTGACCTCCCGCCGTCTCTGCCTTCACCCTTGACGCTTTGAATTCAATCAGTTGCAGGTTCACAGTATAAATGTAAAAAAAAAAGCTAAGTGTTCCTTCCTGATGCTCGCTTACAAATGAGCAGCCTTTTAGGTGCCAGAAAAATGAAATATATAAGTTATTGCACCATCAGAAAAAAAAAACATAATGGTGGACTAACCATCCCAATACGATAGTCTACTTTCTACCGGCCGTAAATAGCCAGATTACTCGCGTTTTAATGAAGGTCTGTGCAGTCGCACAAGTGACTGAATGCCGCAAACTCTATTTTTAAACGCAATTTGCGGTCGTTGACCTTGCCGCATACGACACACTCGATACAGCAGAGCGATCTCTCCCCGACGCACCAGGTGGCATCCGAAGACCCACCACTTGCACTTTAAGTACACACCATGCAGGGGAGCGTACGTAAACGCAGCTCTCGTTACACAACTAAGAGCCCCCTCGAAGCAAATACCCTCGTTGATCCACTTCGCAGCGCGCTCGCGGTACGCAAATGAGGGGACCTTGATCCTCGGGCGCGTCGCGGTATAGGGGGCGCAGCAAATGTGGACCGAGTTAGGCCTAAGTGATGCGTCTCTCGCAGAGGCGTTGGCTTACGGTGTAAGCATGGAGAACCCTGACCCGCGCGTGCAGTGCCCACACATCAGGGGGAGATATACACGGCAAACCCTGTCGCAATCGACGCAAGAATCGCATCAATCAAGCGTGCCCGGCCTGCCTGCCTTGTGATCACAAGCATTATGCACACCTACAAACGTCGTCGACACCAAAGAACACAGCGCACGTGAGACCACTTATGCGGGTGGAGCGAGTCAGTAGAAAGAAAGGATAATACCGTTACGAGGCGTACCGCAAAGTGGTCGTTGATTCGGTGTTTCATTCGTCGTTTATGCGGGCGGTATACTTATTACACTGCGTGTCCGTCCTACGGTACAACTCTCCCCGCGCGCCAGCTATACACGCTGGTGTAGTGCAATTTATTGTTCGCGGCTTGTATACGGTCCTCGACGCTGCAAGCGCTGCCTCACTCTCACCCGATAAGACGCAGAACATCTCCTGTTCCTTGTCATTAGGAGTAGTGCGTCGGGCTCAGCCATCGAGGCGGGTGCCGAGGAGGTATAGCATACAGATACACACGAAGAGGACGAGCACGACGTGCTATACGAGCCGAGTATAGTAAACTAGTGGTTTCGCGTTCCTGTTATTCTGCAGTGGATATACGCAAATACGACGACCACGGTGAGGAACGAACACTGCTTACCGCTCGTCGTCTTTCACTTGGTTCTTCGTCCTGTGGTCTCGGTTATAAACTCGACAGCAGCGAAAGGTATAGATAGACGTACGTCAGTGCAGAGAGGTATGTAACGAGTGCTGTGGCGTCTAATTCGAGAGCAGTCGTGTGCATCTAAGAGCCACAGTTTCGTGGGCGGGAGCGTTGTGATGCCCGCCAAGGGCAGGCAGGCCGAATCACCTTATTAGAAATACAATAACATGCGGCGACTCTTTATAACAAAGGCCAGTTTCTTCTTGTGGCTCAACGTGGTAGTACGAAAGGTTCGCCAGTTCACCAGTTCTGTGTTCATGTTTGCTTGCTTTTTGCCCGCTCGGTGAATCCATACACTGACCGGTGTGACCAGTGACCAGTAGACCAGTGTCACCAGTGAACAAGGCCTGCGGCTCAGCATGGTTAGGAATAACAACGATGAAGGTACGAAGAATTGTGACGCCAAAAACCGAGGTTAACGACACCCAGATACGATGGCTGATGACAGTCCCTGGATACCATATAGGTTGAAAGTGCGAAAACGACATATACTTCATCTAGTTTGTAGTAATCCATCACAGCCACTAGACAGTGCAACACGTGGACACAAGACGCATTAGTCTCGTCGTGTTCTCAACTCTTGTGTCCATTTTATAACGAACTCTGTTGCGTTCGTCATTTCGCGTGGGTACACGCTCGTTTCGTGCACCTGCCATTCTATTTCGTTCCTTTCCTATGCGTCTTTCGGGTCGTTTCATTGATTGGGCAGAAGATGCCATCGGATCGGTCTTCGTTGACCATCACAAATGTTCTCGTATACCGATAAGGGCACCAACTACGAATCCACTTGTCTGGCAAGAGCTCATGACTTTCCGGTTTGCAAAGAATCTATAGTTTCACGGCTAGTTCTTGAAGGTCGAGAAGGCTACCAGATGTCAGCATTATTAAAAACAGTCAAAGAAAAAAAAGATATGAGTGATCAGTCAATTGATGGCGCCATATGACAGTGTCGGGGTTCACAATTGATTTCCTGTCGCAGACTCCCGTTAGCATGCTGATTATATATATTGCATCGATACTTCGATCTTCCAGTCTCAGCTTAGCCGCTGCTGCCCTACGTCTACCATTTACAATTTTTCTCTATATTGTTGTCCTCGTTCAGCGAATCGCGGGATGTAGCCGTCTTCTGCTGGGGACTGTGGGTCAGCTGGAACGAATTACGACGGCTGCGTTCGATCGGTTTTCATCGCGTGCTTGGTGCCAGTGTTCGCCCGTAATCAGTTATTACATCATCTAACCTGGAGCCCCTGTTGTGACCATTCCGCCACGTAAAATCTGAGCATGAAACGAAAAGAATATGGGGCCGAAAATTTGCTTTGCCATTGCCTAGCCGGCTTATGATATGTCAGGCATCAGAATTGGCTGAAAATTTCTGCTACGAACAGTTCCAAGGTCAGGTTTCACAACGTAAGATAACAAAACGTGATAGATAGATAGATAGATAGATAGATAGATAGATAGATAGATAGATAGATAGATAGATAGATAGATAGACAGACAGACAGACAGACAGACAGACAGACAGACAGACAGACAGACAGACAGACAGACAGACAGACAGACAGACAGACAGACAGGTAGGTAGGTAGGTAGGTAGGTAGGTAGGTAGGTAGGTAGGTAGGTAGGTAGGTAGGTAGGTAGGTAGGTAGGTAGGTAGGTAGGTAGGTAGGTAGGTAGGTAGGTAGGTAGGTAGGTAGGTAGGTAGGTAGGTAGGTAGATAGATAGATAGGTAGGTAGATTATGTATCGTAACATAAAAATACCAGCCTTGGTTACTGAGTACGGGCTGGTTGGTATTCCATTTCAAATGTGCCACAACGCAAGCGAAGAAATACCATACAAAGAGACCAAAAAAGCGATTAACGCTTGTCTTCGTTGGTTCGTTTGCTCCGTGTGCCCTCTTGTGCTGCATCGCATTTGAAATAAGTGATCATTACCGTTGGCGCATCGACTGGAGTCGTAGTTGCGGGCACGAACCACTTTGGGAAATCAGCGCCATCATCATCGTCGTTGTCGTCGTAGGAACGCCACTCACCACGCTTGTTCCTGTATTTACACGGTCTGCGGCGCAACCATGGAAGGCACGCCTCTACTGAACGTCGATCACCTTCCGCCTCTCGTCAGACGACAGGCGGGGCGCGAGGTCAGCTTTCGGCGACGATGGCTGGCCAGCGCCAACGAGCTCCGACGGTTCGCGACAAGGTGGGCTATCGGCGCTATACTTGTCTTCGATAGAACAGCCGACTGTTTCACATCTGTAGACCGTTCCGCCTATAGATGTACGCGAGCCGACTTGGTCTGTTAAAGGGGACCCTATAAACTGAACCTCTGAAAATACGAAGAACGAGCGCGCTGTTCTCTCCCGGCGTTTCCCGTCCTCGCTGCATACACTCTAAGCCGAAAAAGACTAAAGTGGGGTATGCCATTGGTCCTTTCTTTGATTGATTGATTGATTGATTGATTTGTGAGGTTTAACGTCCCAAAACCACTATATGATTATGAGAGA